ATTTTATGGAGGCCTGTTCCTGATCCTGGGAGAGTAGACTACAATGCCGGCTGTTCTGACTCACAGACTGTAAGTACGTTTTTTATATTTAAAGAATTTGCCACTGATGATTCAACCGCGACTTTTGAGCAGTGTAGAGTAGCGCTTGAGGTTTGTAATTTCTCCGATCACAAATGCAGACATGGATTTATGTTTACGAGGCGCGATGCAACACAACGCATAAAAAGACAGTATAAGTCATTATAATCCATAATTATGTCCCCACTGGATGCAACAAATGCCTCGTTTATAATGGGTTTGAATGTTTTTGTCTAGTCACTCCGGCCGGGACACGGCATCACAGTAAGTATTCGGCCAATCACAACGCACTGGATGGCTGGCCAATCACAGCACACCTCGCTTTTCAAACTGATGAGCTTTGTAAAAATCGACATGTTTCAGAAAGGTGGGGCATAGAGGAGAAACAATAATGTACAGTATGTGGAAAATAATGTGCTTTTTTAACCTTAAACCGCATAAACACATTTCATTACACCAAATACACAAAATAATGTTATTTTTAGCAACATCATATGACCCCTTTAAGATGTCATTACTATGAATTTAAGGTAGTGGTTTTCAAATTTAAAAAACAATCAGCCAATCAACTTATGGAACACTTTGTGGCCCACAACAGTGATATTTTAGTATCATGTATAAATTGTTATAGTATTTATTAATATTTTGAATTCGCTTTTGTTTTTGTATTTTCAGTTTTAATTTTAGTTTACGTTTTAGTAATGTGGTTATGTGGTTTTATAATTTTTATAATTTTTTATATTTCTATTTATTTAAGTTATTTCACTTTTAGTAATTATCTAATTGTCTAGTTGTTAAAATTTTAATAATAAAGAAATAAGTATTGTATTTTATTTCAGCTTTACGTTTATTAAATTTTTTTTCATAGTTTTAATTTAGTTTAGTTAGTCTATGGTTAATAACAGCACTGCTTTAAGATTATTATAAATGTATTGGAATGAATTATTGATGTTCATACACGTTTGCATTGTCAGGAGGTAGTGAAGTGTGAGATTGAAGTGATGAACCAGTTGAACCATGCCAATCTGATCCAGCTCTACGCCGCCTTTGAATCTCGACATGAAATCATTCTAGTGATGGAGTAGTAAGTTACATCCACAAACACACTGAAGTTTCACACACAGACATCCTCTCTCACTAAGTAAATCTCATTCATGCTATGTGTATGCTTGTGTTCCCTGTGTACCCCCTAGCGTTGATGGCGGAGAGCTGTTTGACCGGATCATAGATGAGAACTACAAGCTGACCGAGTTGGACACAGTGCTGTTCATCAGACAGATCAGTGAAGGGCTTCAGCATATGCACAAGATGTACATATTACACCTTGACCTTAAGGTGCCAAACACATTCTTGTTAAAAATAATATGCATTTCAACAGCTTCATGAAAAGAACAAGAAGTTTGAAATCCCTGTGTTTACTGTGTCAACAGCCTGAAAACATTCTCTGTGTCAGTCGACAAACAAACAAGGTGAAGATAATTGACTTTGGGCTCGCAAGGAGGTTAGTATTTGTTTCTGTGTCTGTGTTTACACTTGCTTTCTTTCTGCCTGTCTTCATGAATCTACTGTTTCTCTCACGCCGATTTGTTCTTCATCTTCCTTTCAGATATAAACCTAGGGAAAAGTTGAGGGTGAACTTTGGTACACCTGAGTTCCTGGCTCCTGAAGTCATCAACTATGAATTTGTCTCATTCCCAACTGATATGTGGAGTTTAGGTGTCATCACTTACATGCTGTGAGTCCATAGATATCAATGAACAATCATAATACCAAAAGGAGAGAATTTTGTAAAACTTGTTTTTGCGTGTGTAGGCTCAGTGGCTTGTCTCCGTTCCTGGGTGAGGATGATAATGAGACACTAAATAACATCCTGGCATGTCAGTGGAGTTTTGAAGAGGCTGAATTTGTCGACATCTCTGAGGAGTCCAAAGACTTCATCTCACGCCTGCTTGTGAAGAGCAAAAGGTCTGTGTGTCCCCAAAAGTTGGCTAAATTTAACAAATACTAATTTTTTGATTCTGAAATGTTACCAGTATGTTTGTGTTTTGATGCATGTTTATTTATTTATGTATTTTTTTGTGCAGTTGGAGAATGAGTGCATCCCAGTCCCTGAAACACCCATGGCTTTCAGACCGAGCCCTTCACTACCGTCTGCACCATAAGGTTCATAACAGCTTCGAGCTTGTGACTAAATGAGTGCAGTAGTGACTTATGCAAATTAAGAATGAATGAACCTGTTTCTCTCACAGAAAAACAAGTGTCACTCTTCACGTGCCCCTCCTCCAGAGGGATAAACAGGTAAGATGCATAACATGAAATATGTTAAAGGGATAGTTCACCCAAAAATGACAATTCTGTCATCATTTACTCACACTCATGTCGTTCCAAACCTGTATGCCTCTCTTCTTCGGAACACAAAAGAAGATATTTCAAAGAATGTTGGTAACAGTTTCAGTTCCCACTGACTTCCATTGTATTTTGTATTCCAACATTCTTTAAAAGATCTTCTTTTATGATCTGCAGAAGAAATAAATAATGAGGGAGCGTACATCAAATGTTTTTTTCTTCAGCTGTATTTTATTATTGTAAGGTGTCCTTGAGTGTCTTGAAAGGCGCCCATAAATAAAATGAATTATTATTATTAATTAAATGATGACAGAATTAAAAAATGTTGGTGGACTGTCCCTTTAAATGTTAAAACGTAATTAACATTTAGTTCTCCTATCCTTGATTTCATGTTTTCTGCAGAAGTGATCATTGGCTCTCCTGGTGCCTTGGTGACACACTGGACCAATGCAGTTGTATCTGAACAACTATACAACATCTGTTCAATATTACAGTCAAATACTGACTGTAAAATGTTTATTGACTTCTTACCTCAACTTTAAGCTAAAACAGCATACAACACATTAAAAGTACAGCTCTCCACAAGAATATTTCACCATTTTGTAAAATGGTAATATTTATGGCTCTGTGATGAACTTGCCCTGTGCTCCAGTCCTGGTTTAAGTGGGTTTTAACTGGTGGCTGTCGTCTTATGAAAAATTACTACATGCACTTAATTCTACAGGGATTTGGTCTTGTATGTGCACTTTATAATAGACCAGGACTGGAGAAAGTATGTGAATGACTACGAGTGCAACAGAAATCATACTCTATACGCACAAATGTATTGAGTCTTATCATGGTAATACTCTGTACATCATTGGTTTATGGTAACATTTCATTTGCATAATATTTATGAAGTATTAGAATTCACAAAAGAAGCTGTACTGTATTTTACACTTGAATAGCACCCTTAATGTCAAAATCCTGCAAATAATCTATCATTTTGAATGTTATGTCTTTTCTGCTGATTTTCAAGAAGTCTAAGTGTCAGAGTTTGGAGTTTGTTTGTGTGCATGTAGCTACTGTTATCTGATACAAATAGCCATGACCCAAATTCAGCTCTCACTTACCACATTTTATTCAATAATGTCATTCAGAGGGTTTCCCTTAGGGCAAATGTGTTGTGCAAAATGAGTTATTCAGAATCATGAGCTCCAAATGCTTAGCTAATGTTGCTGACCTCACACTTTATTGTATTTTTGTTTTCGATTTTTTTAAGCTGGAAATTGGAGACTGGGACATTGGCTTCAAGCCTGGCTGTTTTAGGCGATTATATGGTCTTGCTCACTCCTTCTCTTTGTTGTAGACATCTCACCTTCCATGAAGGCAATTGAAAAAAGAAAGAAACCCCCCCCCCGGAACACTACCTTCAAATGTATTGTGTGTTTTTGTGTGGTTCTAAATATAAAGATACTGTTGCTTTGATCACCTTTCACTGATGTTTACTTGAAATGCTTTCATAATATAATAAATGGGGTGAAATGTACTGTATGTCAGCTTATGGCTAACAAATTAGTGCTTTTAGACACTAGGATTCTAAGTGAAAGCTGAAAAACCAGGACTATCACTTTTTGATGTGTAAGCATTAATAAAAGATTTGTTTATTTTTATGTTTTGATTTCAGTTTCTATATATGCGATGACTGGATTGAGGAATGCTGAAATATAATAGCTCATAAACTACTAGGAAAAATAAAAGCATGTCAGTACTTTCATATATTAGTACTTGTACATTATTCAAAAGATGTTTTGTTGTAAGTGCCTTATATACTTTAAATATTATCTAAATTAAAATATATTTTGAACAAATGTTTGATTGACTGGTTCATTCATTTGATCTATTCTTGGAGCAACAGCATTTAAGTCATTTTCTTGTAAATGCACATAATCCTGAGTTCCTCCTCTCACTTTAATTGTTTGCATATTTTTTTCCACACATGAAATATTCAAAATAACATCAGTGATTCAAAGCCTTGATCTATGGTTGTGGCGCAAAAAAACATCAAGTACAGTAAGAACGATATGTGACCCTAAAAAACCCTAAACCAGTCAACTGACCAGCTTGACAAGACTGGGAGACCAGCAAAACAGCCTTGACTAGTTGAAGCTGTTTTTCAGCTGTGATTTAGGCCTAGCCTAGGATTTACTATGAAATGTAGGCATATTATAATTACGATAATAATTATTATATTAGATATGTAATAATAAAGGGAGAAAGTAAAAAAGTGGTTTGTTTAAATCCTCCTGAACCTCGATTCCTTTAGTGGGCGCTGTGACACATTTATATCCCCAAGCCAACAGGATTTGTCTCCTCTTTATTCTGTGGTGCGTACGTCACAGGCGCTCTGCTCTGTGATTGGCTGCTGAGTGCAGGTTCCTGATGTGTCGCTCAAGCAGCTGGAGTTTCGGATGTGTTTGCATCTGTTCATGATAAACGATCGCGCACAGTGGAACCAGACCCCACAGACACACTCCGAACCGAAACCAGCTCCAGACGATGGCTCAGTGTGCAGCAGCGGCGGCGGCGGCGGCGGCGGCCAGTGGTGATGCGAACGGAGACAGCCAGACGAAGAGGAAAGTGGCCATCATTACAGGCATTACCGGTCAGGTAGCGTGAATTATCGTATCAACCTATGCGACGCGATGATATATAGGCATAGTTTAGCTAGAAATCAAAAGTATGTCATATTACTCACCCTTATGTTGTTTCAAACGCGTATGGCTTTCTTTGTTCTGTGGAAAACAGAGGGAGATGTCTCAGTCACCATTCAGTCTTATTAGAGGAAAAAACGATGCCTTGAATAGTGACCGAGGCTGTCAGTCCCTAACATGAGGGTGAGTAAATGATATCTGGCTTTTATGAGACAATTTTATCCTTGACCCCCTTGGTTCACTTGCTTTTGTGGTTTTCGGTAACCATGGCAATAGTAGTTTTAGCTAAAATACAGTAATTACTATAATATAGTTATCTTTGTAAAACTATAGCACTTTCTTAAGGTATAGAAGTTTAAATTTCTTACGTGGTCATTTCCGAACTTATAACTGACAACTAAGCTTACACCATGTCTACACTGGACGCGAGCGACGCGACGCGACAAAAGCACTGCAGGCCTGTGTCATTTGTTTTATTGAATGCACCCTATTCTTACGCCCCATTACGCTTTACGCGAACTATGGGTGTAACTTCCGTTAAGCTGTAAACAATCAGTGAGATGCTCGCTATGAACGCAATAATCTTTTTTTTTTTTTAACTGGGTACAATGAGATGACATTATTCTACTCACCCTTCAATCATCGAACATTAAAATGACATTTAAAAGTGTAAAAGCATAAACAAAATACTTTCAACAGACCATGAATGACCCCAAAAGCCCGATTCTTTCCACAGCAATAACGGACGGGTGAAGTATCACTGTAGTAATGTATATCTGTATTAGGCATGGGCCGGTATGAGATTTTGACGGTATGATAACCGTAAGTAAAAATATCACGGTTTCACGGTATCACGGTGTTTTTGTTGCAGCTCTAAAATGTGTTATTTTAAAATGACTGGGTAAAAAAAAAAAAAAAACATTCCGCTGAACAATATATTTGTTTCTGAGCAACATACAGAATATTAGGAACAGTAGAATTTGTTTATTTTTTCTTTGATTTGTTTCCTAAAAAGAAGAAAAATAAAGACTGACATCTTTATTTAACCTAAATCTGTAATTACAGTTATTTAATTTTAGATATAAAATTTCTTATACATATCATTTATATAATTTCATATCATTTAGTTATATAATTTCATATAGATCATTTGATTTAATAATAACTCAATTTGAAGCAAAAACAGAATGTTCTGACTAGCTTTGTGAAATTATACTACATGCCTGAACGAGCTCTGAATGAGAGGCAGATTCACTCTCTGACAGCAGGAGGCGCTTCTGGAACACCAGATACAGCGTTTCCTTGGTTACCGCTGTAAACAAAGCAGCTGCGCTGAAACACTGTTTTAATGTGAATGATACAGAGACGAGATGAAAAGAAAATACCACGTAAACTTTTCTGAAGACAGTCAGTTCCCCTCAGAAACATTCATATAAACCCCCAAATCAATATTGAGGATTTTCTTCCAATAGTTCATGGATCATGAACAGTGAGTGATCTGCCTGCTACAGTATTTTTCTCTGTGCGTCCGTCTTCAGCGTCTCTGGCCTGTGTTAACGGGCGTTTACAGACTTCATATTTTCACATAAATTACATTTAGGAAAATGATTGCATTGCAACGCAGTTTGTGCAAGTCCAGAACAGAGACAAGCTGCAATAAGACAAAAAACGTCCGGTTGCCGATCGCGTAAGTTCCAGGGGAAGCTCCTTAAGTTCGGCCATCCTACACACACGTGACTGACCGCTCGCTCGCACCAACAGGAGGAGGAGGGTCGTGCTACTCTCTACACTGAACTCAACCTGAGGGATTCCTACACTTTCAGTCTTTGAGGAGACATGAAAAACAGCGCATACCGCAGGAATGGTATAACGGAAAATAGTGGTTTTGAAACCGTGAAATTTTCAAATTGCGGTATACCTTGAAACCGGTAATCGGCCCATACCTAATCTGTATAATGTAACATACTTGCCTTAATCAAAATGTTCATTAACTTCATTGCATGATACTATTTCAAAGTGATTTCAGTCATTTTGACAGATAATAAATTGTATTTACCTTTGAAAACAAACAAACCTGGAAACAGACGTGAGGGTTTGAGGAGGAAAAACAAGAGAATCTTCGTGCATTCCAGTGAATTATTCATGGGATATATCGTAAATTAAATTGGGAGAACAGACCACATATGTGCACTGCAGTATATGTTGTCCTTTCTCATACTATTACAGTGGAATGCAAAGGGAAAAAAGTAAATAATCATGAGGAAAAGAATGCAGCGATTGAAAAGAGCTCTTGCCATAGATATTCTTGTTATAACATGTCACGCTAAAATACCAAGCATTATGTTATTCTCATGATATCTGAAAATAAAATATGAATGAAAATTGACAGCTCATTCAGTCAAACAGACGGCTTTAGTTGTAGGGCAACCTTATGATTTAACATGATTCATTTCAGTCTTTTTGAATAGCAGTTCCCCAAACCGGAAGTGTCACCCATAATTCAAAACGTAATAGGCACGTCACGAATAAGGTGGATACATGTTTATGTCTGGAATGACAATATATATGTGACAATTTGCATATGGTAAGCAACATTTACAGCTTTTGTGAACAAAAAGCAGAGTCTCATGTGAGCCTTTAATTGTTGGCTGTTGTTTATCTAGCCCGACATGGGCTCTTGTAATTGTGAATCACAGTGAACTATGTAACAGGAGACATGTGACACAAATTTGATCCTCAAAAGTTAATTGAAGATATAAGTAGGTAGCGTGATGTTGTTTTCCAGATTGCTGGTAAAAGAAAGTTCAAACTGTTCAAAATAGGCAACAGACAAAAGTATATAACTTGAATTTCTGGTCTGTTTTACGAGTTTTTGTGAGTGCATGAGCATGTTACAAACATGGGTGTATCTAGACAACCAGGTTTTTCACTTTGTACGTTTATGAGACCTGTCTTGCTTTTGTGCATCATATATAGCTGAATGTGCCATCCATTTTGTCCTGAGCAGACTTTTTGGACCAAAATAGTCCAATTTAAATGGTAAAAACTGTATATTCTCCACTCCAATTAAAAAATTTCCCGCCACAATTTGACATTTAGATCCCCCTCCAACTAAAAAGAAATACAGCATTTAGAAGTTTCTATGACTGTACAAAGCACTTAAATATTTAATGAGGTAAGTAGAGTTCAGTTCATTGATTATTTGTTGCTAAACAATTGGCCATTATATTTTAACACCACATTGCTATTACTTACCCATATCAGCTACTTAAAGTGTATTCAATTGGTTGCATCATTTATTTTGGAGTTGAAATATAATACATTAAATATGCTTTAATCCCCCCCCCCACCCCCCAAAGCTACTCCCATGCTTACAAATGCACTCTAGTGAAATAAAAATGATCAAGGAAGTGTTAGCTGTTGTAAATATGACTGTGTAAATATCATACTATAGTGTGTGCAGAGCCTCTCCCACAGTAAAATGCCATGGGACATTTATTACACATTATAAAATGGTTAGTTCTATTCCTCGATTCTGATTGGTCAGCAGCTGTGTTTTGTTCACAATACAGCACAGCTATGACCGTTTCACCCAACGTTCTGTCAAAGCCATTAGAAGGCAAGCCTGCAACCATTAGCCGAAAAAGCATTTTTTTATGGACGTCAATGGATGAGAGGCTTCACTACGCTGAATAAACAGCTTTGTAGAGGAAACGGCTTATCCTTTAATGAATCGACAGCCTATCTGCTAATCTTCAACATGTTTTACACTAAACAATACTTTTGGATTGAACTATTGTTAGAGTTTACCACGAAAAAAATGCCACTGACTTTTTGCGACAGGTGGTGTTCAGCTTACGGCACTTCTCATTCATTCCTATGGGATCCGTAAACGATGATTGAGTGTCGTACAACTCTGATTGAAATTCAATGACGTCAAGGTTGTATTGTGATTGGTTATTAAGGGACACGTGATCCAAGTTAGCCGTTACACTTTCTCCAATAGTAAGTAATACAGACCCCCTCATCTCCCTATAGTAAGATAATCTCTAGCTGTGTCTGAAATCGCTCACTCTTTTTTCACTCGTTCACTAATCCCTATATAGTGTATGGCAGTTGAGTGGACTATATCAGAAAGGAGTGAACGGATTCGGATGGTGATGTGTCTGCGTGTGAAAAACATCTTCGTCATACGTACTTTTATATTACATGTACCTTATTTTAGAAAATAATATTAATCGCAATAACACTTAAAATAACTTTATATTGTAATTGTGCATACCTCCGTGTCAGCTTTGTGGTTTTATTGATGGTATATTATTAATTTATTTTGTATTGCTTTGTTCATAATCATTAAATACTATTAAAATACTGTCAACAAAAATAAACACACATTAACACGTGTTCATAATTGTATGTATTTATTGTTTGTAGTATTTTGAAACTCTCCCGAGCAGCGTTTTGCACTAAGATGCCAATGGTCGTAGAGCGCCCTCAGGCAACTGTTAATTTTACATCAGAATGAATACGCTACCAACGGACATTTTTAAATATCCACCAAATTTTTAAAATTTTTGTAAATGAAAAAAAATGCCACCTCAGTAAATTAATACAATGTTAAACTGAGTTAATGCCTACGTTATATATTTTAATATAAATAATGCATGAAATAAACGTAAACCAGAAATAATAAAGATGTAAACGGCATCTCTCATTCAAACTCGCTCGCTCCCGCTCTCTCTTCCAGCTCGTTGGTTCTCCGCATTGGATTGTGGGAAATAGTGCTTCAGCGAGTGTACATTGGTCGAAATCAGAATGCATTGTGGGTAAAAAGTAGTGAACGAATGTAGGGAATGAAGTCGTTCACTCAGAATTCAGACAGCACTACAAAATGGCTGACACCCGATATAGTGCACTATATAGTGGACAGGGAGCGGTTTCGGACACAGCAATAGT